TATTTTTGAGAGAAAGAGAGAGAGACAGAGCACAGGCAGGGGAGGAGTGGAGAGAGGGAGACACAGAATCCAAAGCAGGCCCAGGCTCTGAGCTGTCAGCACAGACCCCAAAGCAGGGCTGGAACTCCCGAACCGTGAGATCATGACCTGAGCAGAAGTCAGACACTTAACCAACTGAGCTACCCAGGTGCCCTGCCCCTCCCAAATTTAAAGCAAATTCTAAACATATAATATCTGTAAATAATTTAATATTATCTCTAAAATATGAAATTAAAAATTTTCATTTTAGATTTTATTTTTTTAAGACTATTCTAATTTTTTAATGTTTATTTTTGAGAGAGAGACTGTGTGAGCTGGGGAGGGGCAGAGAGAGAGGGAGGCATGGAATCTGAAGCAGGCTCCAGGCTCTGAGCTGCCAGCACAGAGCCCTACGCAGGGCTCGAACCCACTAACAGTGAGATCATGACCTGAGCCGAAATTGGATGCTTAACTGACAGTCACCCAGGCGCCCCTCGTTTTAGATTAAAAAACATTTTTTTAAACATTTATTTATTTTTTGAGAGAGACAAGTGTGAGTAGGGGAGGGGCAGAGAGAGAGGGAGTTATAGAATCCCAACCAGGCTCCAGGCTCTGAGCTGTCAGCACAGACTCTAACACAGGACTTAGAACTGCAAGATCATGGCCTGAGCCAAAGTTGGACACTTAACCAACTGAGCCACCCAGGTGACCCTCATTTTAGATTTTAAATAGGAGGATTTTAAACCACAAAGTATTGTTACACCTTAAATCTTAAAAATTCTTTAATATCAAATCTAGTCAGTATTCCAAATGTCTTCACTCATTTCATAATTTTCCAGGTGGCTTGTTCAAGTTGGAATCCAAACAAAATCTACAAATTGCATTTGGTTGAAATTTCTCTGAGGTTTCTTTAAATCTGTAGGTTCTTCTTCTGTTTTCTTACTTTTTAGTTGTTGAAAAAACCAGAACAATTTTGAGAATTTCCCTCATTTTTGATATCATTTACTTTTTAGAAAAATCTTTCTCTTGTATTCCTATAAGCTGGAAGTTAGATCTGTAGAGTTAATCAGATTCATGTTGTTTGTTTCTCTTTGGACGAATCCTTCTTAGGTCATGCTATATTCTTGGTGCTGCATCATATCACAAGGTACATGCTGTCCATCCCTTTTTGTTATTTTAAGATTAATTGACTTTAGGTGTTGTTATCTTAAACCATCTTTTATAAAGTTCCCTATCAGTCTTCACCTAATGATTTTAGCATCCTTCAATAATCATACCCAGATCCGTTATTTTATTAGGAGTTGTAAAATGGTGATACTTCGATATCATTACTTCTGAATTGTGGGATGTCTAAAAAGAAAACCTATTTAGTTACCCCGAGGCATGTAGTTCATTTAGAACAGGCAGGATAAATGTTTGGCTCAGGCCTTGTTTCCTGAGCCAAAGTTGGATGCTTAACTGACTGAGCCTCCAGGCACCCCTTTAATTAATTTTTTTAAACATTTATTCATTTTTGAGAGACAGAGACAGAGCATGAGTGGGGGAAGGGCAGAGAGAGAGGGAGACACAGAATCTGAAACAGGCTCCAGGCTCTGAGCTGGCGGCATAGAGCCCGACCCAGGGCTCGAACCCACTAATGGTGAGATCATGACCTGAGCCGAAGTCTGACACTTAACCCGCTAAACCACCCAGTCGCCCCAGACATATCTTTGACTTAAACTACTGAACAGTTTCTTAAAGTATTTGGATCTTAGTTCAGGCTGATAAAGATACCATGGACTGGGGAGCTTAAATAACAAACTTACTTCTCACAGTTCTGGAGGCGAGGGAGTCTAAAACTCAAGGCACCGGCAGATCTGGTCTATGGTGAGGGCAGTCTTCCCAGTTGGCAGATAGCTGTGTCCCCTGTGGTGGAGACCTGGGATAGGGTGAGGGGGGGGGCGGTGGCGAGCGTAGGAGTGGGCACCAGTCCCATGTTGGGGGCTCCACCCCATGACCTCATCTAAATCTAATTACCTCCTTAAACTGGCAACTTTAGACACCATCACACTGGGGATTAAGGCTGCAACATATGAATTTTGGTGTGTGTGTGTGGGGGGGGGTCACACATTCATTCCACAGCAGTTCATATCATTTTACACTTCCACCAGAAGTGTCCTCGAGTTCCTGTGCGTTCAATTCCTGAGTCTCCTTTTCTCCTATTTTTCCTCTTTTTATTCTGATAAAATTTGCTCAATATCTTTTCCTAACCCTGTACTGAACTTTCAATTTCTGCTGTTAAATTTTTAGTGCACTCCTATTTCCTATCCTTTAATGTTTTATTAGAACATATTCTGACTTCAGGCAGAGAAGGACAAATACCATATGTTTGCACGTATAGGAGGATTAGGAGGAACTTGACAGAGGACCAAGGGGGAGAAGAAGGGCGGAAATGGTGGGGGAAAGGGAGAGAGGCAAACCATGAAAGACTCTTGAATGCTGACAAAAACTGAGGACTGATGGATGTGGGGGGGAGGGGGGGATGGGCATGGAGGAGGGCACTTTGGGGATGAGCACTGAGTGTTATGTAGAAACTAATTTGACAATAAACTATTTGTAAAAAAAAAAAAAAAAAGAACATATTCTGACTTCAGATTTGTATTCCAGAGTATTCACATTTGGAAAAGGAAATTATAGTAAAGTAGATTCAGAGAAGTCTTTGTTTTTGAAGGCAGATTAAGATTTACTCCCTTTAGGGGTGCCTGGGCGGCTCAGTCAGTTAAGTGTTCGACTCTTGATTTGGGCTCAGGTCATGATCTCACAGTTTGTGGGATAGAGCCCTGAGGCGGGCTCTGTGCTGACAGTATGGAGTCTCCTTGGGATTCTCTCTCAACCCCCTTTCCCCCACCCCTGCAAAATAAATAAACTTCCAAAGAAATATTTATTACCTTTATATAAATTTTCACTATATACATTTCTTGGGAGACCAAATAACTGTGGTCCCCTTAAAGTGATACAGTTGTACTAAAATCAATGCTTGGGTTAGGGCACCTGGGTGGCTCAGTTGGTTAAGTGGCCGACCTCGCCTCAGGTCATGATCGCGGTTGTGAGTTCAAGCCCTGAGTCAGGCTCTGTGCTGACAGCTCAGAGCCTGGAGCCTGCTTCAGATTCTTGTCTCCTTTTCTCTGCCCCTCCCCTGCTCACGCTCTGTCTCTCAAAAATAAATAAACGTTAAATAATAATAAAATAAAATCATTGCTTGGGGCCCAAAGTGAAGTTCAGTAGTTGTTGAAGCATCTAGTTGGAAGCACTTGCAGTTGAACTTGGTGCAAAACACTGAGGTCTCCAGCAAACACTTTCCTCCCTTCCTTTCTCCCTCCTACTCCCACTCCTTTCCTCCCTCCTTTCCTTCCTTTTTAAAATACATTTGACACATCTCAGATCCCTAGTCTGGCAGGCGGTGATGTCAAGCCCCAAAAATTTCCACCAAGAAAGCCAACTCTTTGATGTATATTTAGTACCTAAACCTGTGTTTGTTTGTTTGTTTGTTTGTTTGTTTGTTTTTAATCTATAGTCTAGAAGCCTGGCATGTTAGCTAGGAGATGATCAAGGGATTCATTTGTGAATCAAAAGCATTTGTCAGAAATGTGGAGAAACCTGATAGTTATGAGAGACATTGAACCACTGGTGTCCAAAGCAGACTGATTATCAGACTCACTTGGAATCTTGAAAAAATGCAGCACCCCAACTCCCCAGGGTGCCCCCTGCTGGATACTGTGATTCAGTGGCCCTAGGTAGGGCCAGGAATCTGTACTTTTAAAACAACCAGATTGCCTGAAGTACATACTAGCCATTCCCAGTTCAAGCTCTCTGAATCCTAGCAGTGATTTAAGAGACAAGATCTAAAACTCCGTATCCGGATTACATTATCCTAGCTTCCTCTAGAAATCAGGATTAAGGAGCCTCCAGTCATTCCTGTCAACATGAGACATCATGACAATTTCTATACCTTTCATAAAATTGGCTAAAAGCATCAACCAGCAGAGGGAGAGAGGCAAATCTATTATCGTTTTAAATGCCCTCTTCAAACTTCCTTTGAGCCCTTAAATCCAAAATAACCGCGACCTCAGAACTGTAAGAGCACATTGTTCCTTACAACACCACTTTTCACTTCATCTTTTTAAAATAACTATTTGTGTACATGACTACCGGAGGCCAGAAGACAGTCTGCTTGAAACTCCAGAGATGGAGACAGGGCCTGATGCAGATTACAGCTCTCAAATATTCGCTGTGAAAGAATATCAGTGACAGGGGCGCCTGGGTGGCTCAGTCGGTTAAGTGTCCGACTTCGGCTCAGGTCATGATCTCACGGTTCGGGGGTTCGAGCCCCGCGTCAGGCTCTGTGCTGACAGCTCAGAGCCTGGAGCCTGTTTCAGATTCTGTGTCTCCCTCTCTCTCCGACCCTCCCCTGCTCACACTGTCTCTCTCTCTCTCTCTCAGAAATAAATAAAAGATTTAAAAAAAAAAGAATATCAGTGACAGACGGGGTGGCCTAGGGCGGTTCTCAGAGTTATAGCCTGCCCACCAATCCTACAGGGCCGCTCTTTTCCTTTAACCGGACTGTCAACTCCCTGAGAGTCTGAGTCAGTTTCGCTCTCCACCGCTTATCCAGCTCCGGCACAGGGTCGAGTCTAGCAGATGCTCAGTAAATGTTTGCTAAAAGATTAATCAAAAAGGGAAGAAATGATTGCATGAATGAATCGATGAACTCACCTATTCTTCCACCGATGCGTCGGTCGGACAGGTAATTACTGACCTAGCAGCGGCCCAACGGGATTCCAAGGACTCCGCAGCTCTGGACTAATCGCGGGAGCCAGTGCAGGGGCGGGGCGCCACGTAACCCCGCCCATATGAAGGCGGGGATCCCCATACTCCCGCCTACAAAGAGGCGGGTCGTACGTGGAATCCCGCCCACTCGGAGGCGGGGCCTGCGGCGCGCGGGAAGAAGCGCAAGCGGCGGCGGGAGCTGGCGGTGCCGCCGACTGACCGCGTCACTGCAGGTACCGCTTCCCCAGCGCCGGCTCCGGCTCCGGCGTCCCCAGAGTCTCCCCGCGGGGCCGAGCGAGAGCGAGAGGGTCTCGCTGAGGGCTGGCCGGGGGGTCCCGGCATAGTTCTGGACCTCGTGCGTTCGCGCGCGCGGCCGGTCCCCGCCCCGGCTGCGTGCGGCCTCCTCCGCGCCAGGCCCGCTTTCGGCTTTCCGGCCGGGCGCCGGGTCCCGTGCGGCCTGGGAACGGGGGGATGTCTCCTCTGGTCCCTTGGCCTCGGTTCCCTCCCCCGGGCGACCCTCCCCTCCTGGCAGCCCCAGCCGCCCGGGAGGTGGGCGTCCTTCGCGGCCCCCTCTCCGAGCTAACCCCTCCCCCAGGCAGCCTCTGGCGGGCGGCCGCTAGCCCTGGACAGCCCCCTCCCCCGCGCGACCCGGCCCCTGACTCTCCCGGGGCGCCCCCCACCCCGCACTAAGCCGGGGCGGTCGCGCTGCAGGGTCGGCCCCTCGATTTCCTCTGCCCGGGTGTTCCATTTTGCTCTTTCCGGACCTAACAGTAGAATAAACAGCCGCGGCTCAGCAAAGCGTGTTAGGTGAACCTGCAAGGTGTTACACGAGAGGTCGACGCTAACATCCCTTCCCAGTGCGGCGCGCATTTTTAATGGTTAGCAGGGTTCCTGGCTCATAATAAGCGCTCCGTACACCTTTCCTGCTATAATATTCAGTTCATTACCGACGATTTTCAGCCTTCCTCTGTCTTTGGGAAAAGAACGTGTCGGACGAATTGTGTCGTCCCATCAAGACCCGAGAGGATGAAAGTCATTACCTGCGAAATAGCCTGGCACAACAAGGAGCCGGTGTACAGCCTGGACTTCCAGCATGGCACCGCCGGGAGGATCCACAGACTGGCGTCCGCCGGTGTAGACACGGCCGTTAGGGTAGGTGGGGCCGACGGAGAGAGAAAGGCGCGGAGAAGCACTACTGAGGCTGCATTTTCCATTCTTTTCTTTAAAACGAATGTCAACAACCTCAGACCAATCCGTCGTCTAGTCCAGAGGGATAAATCCTCAGGGCCTTGAATGAACCACGAAAGCAAAAGAGAGCTTTGTTCCTTGAGTAACGTTTCCCAGATTGATAAACTGGAGGCTCATTATTTTAAGAATCCTGAGCCGTTTCCCGTTGGGGAACACTTTGCAGGAGAAAGAGGAAGGAGGGAGGGCAGCAAGCCGGTTTATGTTTCAGAGAGAAGTTCCATGTTACGTTTCAAGAGAAAAACGATTTTCTTCCTGAAGCTCAGCACAGTTTTGTTTTAGTAAGCACAGATTGGGAATTGCTCACTGTGTTTCCCTAAGTGAATGTTTTGGTATCAACAGATCTGGAAGGTGGAGAAAGGACCCGATGGAAAGGCCATTGTTGAATTTTTGTCCAATCTTGCTCGCCATACCAAAGCTGTCAATGTTGTGCGTTTTTCTCCAAATGGGGAAATTTTAGCATCAGGAGGAGACGGTGAGTACTAGTATGATCCTTCAAATTCCTTAGAAACCAAATACCTGTGTGTCTCATGTTAAATAGTGAGATATGACCTAGGTATGATTTAAAACAATTTTCAATGTTTATGTATTTATTTTAAAATGCTTTTAATGTTTATTTTTTATTTTTGAGAGAGGCAGAGTGTCGGTGGGGGAGGGGCAGAGAGAGGGAGACACAGAATCCGAAGCAGGCTCCAGGCTGTCAGCACAGAGCCCAACATGGGACTTGAACTCACAAACCATGAGATCACGACCTGAGCCGAAATAGGCACTTAACCGACTGAGCCACCCAGGCGCCCCTTTAATGTTTGTTTTTGAGAAAGAGAGAGAGTCTGAACAGAGGAGGGGCAGAGAGAGGGAGACACAGGATCCGAAGCAGGCTCTAGGCATAGAGCTGTCAGCACAGAGCCCGACACAGGTCTCAAACTCACAAACGGTGAGATCATGACCTGAGCTGAAGTCAGACACTTAACCGACTGAGCCACCGTGCCCCCCCCCCCCCCCCCCCCCCCCCCCCCCCCCCCCCCCCNCCCCCCCCCCCCCCCCCCCCCCCCCCCCCCCCCCGGTGCTCCTCTGTACTTTTTTATTTTAGGCGTCATTTGACCTCTCAATGTGTCATTTAGATAGTTTAGTAAAATAGCGTTCTGGAGAGCATGGGGGTATGGTGGACAGCAAGCTTGACCCCAAAAGCGCTGTTTGAAAGTGGCCCCTCCCCAACTTTAACCCCCATCCGCTGCCTGGTGGAGGCAAGTAGAAAAGTGCTCACCATGTTGTCAGAGTCCCAGCAAAATTGGCCTGGCTTTGATTGCTGCTTTAGTATCTAAGTGACCACAGCCTTTCCCGCATCTCTTCGAGATTAATTAATTCACTTGGGGAGTATTGTCTGAATGGCCCTCTAAATCATGTTTGCTTGCTGGCAGTAGATTGACTCCTGTTTTCTGCTTGTGCTTACATGGCATAAAGATTGCCTTGAACTTGTAGATTTTTGACACGTTGCCATCTTAAACAATATTAAGGGTTAAACCCATAAAACTGGAACTTTTTCCTAAGCGATTTACTAAATCTTTTTTTCCTTGGGGTTTACTAAAAAGTAAATCATTTTACTATGCTTTGACACCAGAACAGTCTAGAAGTTAGTACAAAATAAAACAGAAGTCACAGACTTTGCAGGAGGAGGAAAGTCACCTGGTTAAGGTCAGTGTCACGTTCAGGGTGTGTGTGCACAGAGGGAAGGGTGGGATGTGGGGAACGTCACTGGGGGAGGCAGGCTGTCTTCTGAGAGGTTGCACAGGGCAGCACTCGTAGGGCAAAGTCCTTTCGCCTCGGAGGCTCAGAAACCTGCTGTTAACAGTGGAGAGTGTCCACCTGTCAGTGTCAAGGTTCGTCTCCTCTCCACCAAGCTCCCAGGATTCCAGTTCACTCGCAGTGAGGACACATGTGCCCACACAGCTGGCCCACTCACTGTCCTCCCGGCATTCAGAGGGAGGCCGAGTGCTGCTCAGACTTGGGTGCTGAGTTTGGGGTCAGAGCACAGGAGCTTAGAGCACTCAGACAATTGACCTCAGGCCGAGGTATTTGCTGCATCTGTAAGAGTAGCTAATGTGTCCATGGCTTACCGTGTGCAGGGCGTCATGTTGTCAGTGCTTTATGCATATGAACTCATTTAATCCTCGAGACAGCCCTGTGAGGTGGGTATGCTGTTACCCCCATTATACAGGTGAAGTGACTGAGTCAGTGCTAAGTCCTGCTGAAGGTTACACAGGAACCATTTGCCAGTCCTTGCTGGTGGCTCTTTGCGGCTCTTTTTTTCCTGTTCAGCCCTTCATGGCCTATGCCTTAGGATTTGTGAAGGTAGTCAGTCACTTTGCAGTGGTGTTTTGTTGGCCTGGGGACCCTTCTGTTTAATTTGGCTTTATATAACGTTGATCTGGTAGGAGTTTGATTTTAGATTTTTTTTTTTGAGGTTTATTTTATTTGAGAGATAGGGACAATGTGCACGAGCAGGGAAGGGTCAGAGAGTAAGGGAGAGAGAGAATCCCAAGTTGGCTCTGTACTGTCCCCGCAGAGCTTACCGTGCAGCTTGAACTCACGAACTGTGAGACCGTGACCTGAGCTGAAACCAAGAGTCGGACACTTAACCAATTGAGCCACCCAGGCACCCCTGATTCTGGAGTTTTGGATCATAAGGCAAACCTGTTTTTCCTGTCGAAATTCTTAGAAGTCCATCATTGTGACCATTCTGTGTATTGGACAACACGAACAGGGCCTCATACCCTCAGAGCTGAGAAATGAAGGGGCGTGCACAAAGCGTGGCTTATCCTTACCCGAATCGCTCCACAGATGCCGTCATTCTGTTGTGGAAGGTGAATGATAATAAGGAGCCGGAACAGGTTGCTTTTCAGGATGAGGACGAAGCCCAGCTGAACAAGGAGAACTGGACTGTTGTAAAAACCCTGAGGTAACTTGGAGACGGACCATGGGAGCGCCTCATCTAATTGCTCTAAATGCATTAACCTCACATGCATTTTATTATTATTTCTTAAAAAAAAATGTTCTTTTGAGTAAGCTCTATGCCCAACATGGGGCTTGAACTCACAGCCCTGAGATAAAGAGCCCTACGCTTTACTGACTGAGCCAAGCCAGGCGCCTGCATTCCGACTTATATCTTACTTAAACCTTTCCCTTATTCAAGACAGAGATAAGAGAATCATTTTAAAAGCTAGAAACATGATTAAAATGGATTTTATTTCTGCTGTAAATTTTTCTTTAGCCAGAGTGAATCAATTACAAAGATACAAATACCTTTGAAGGTGGTACATGATAGCTGCAGCTAATAGTTCCAGTGGAAACTTCTAAAATCCTATTTAAAAAAAGTGTTTTTTAATGTTTTATTTATTTTTGAGAGAGAGATAGAGACAGCATGAGCAGGGGAGGGTCAGAGAGAGAAGGAGACACAGAATCTGAAGACAAGCTCCAGGCTCTGAGCTAGCTGTCAGCACAGAGCCTGATGTGGAGCTCGAACCCCTGAACCATGAGATCATGACCTGAGCTGAAGTCAGACGCTCAACTGACTGAGCCACTCAGGCGCCACTCTAAAATCCTATTTTTTAAAGTTTATTTTGAGAGAAAGAGTGGGAGTGGGGGAGGGGCAGAGAGAGAGAGAATCCCAAGCAGGTTCCGGGCCGCCAGTGCAGAGCCCAAATGGGGCTTGAACCCACCAAACCATGAGACCATGACCTGAGCTGAAATCAAGACTCAGACACTTAACCAACTTGAGCAACTCAGGCGCCCCTCTCCCCCGCAAAATCCTTTTCTTGTGTATGGCCTCTGAGTTTGCTTATAAATTTTTGATATTTTTTTCTTTTTCCTCTTTGGATCGTAGGGGCCACTTGGAAGATGTATACGATATTTGCTGGGCAACTGACGGGAATCTAATGGCTTCTGCCTCCGTGGATAACACAGCCATCATCTGGGATGTCAGTAAAGGTAACCAATACGTTTCTGTTATTGTCATGGGAAAGGACTTTCCAAGTGTCTGAAAAGCTAACCTGCCTGATCTTTAATGGCATAAGAGGCTTTTTTAAAAAAATGTGAACTAAAACAGGTATGTAGCTGAGCGGGTTAGGGATTAGCCCCTGTGTCATGATCCAGTTCAGGGCTGTCACAGGTATGAGGCTCATCCATGGTGTCCTGAGTTACTTGGGCCAAAGCAAGGTCCATCCCACATACGTGGGGGTGCAGACGTGTTGGCGCAGGGCTAATCCCCGCCTTTGCGGAACGTAGGATCTCAGGAGGCTTATTAGCACGTCTGTCACCATGATGGGGCACTGAGTGCTCAGTGCTGGGAGAGGTCCGCGCCGGTGTCCGTTTGCAGAGGTGGAGGACGGCGGAGGACCCCTCGCTGCTCTCACAGGCCTGCTCTCTGGTTGGGGCGACAGCAGACATGTGAGAAGTTATAAAAACAGCCGTGAAATGCCGAAAGCCACAGTGGCTAACGCCTGCCCTTTCTGCCCCCTGCTCACCATGACTCAGCCTTGACGTTTTCTCTCCAGCCCCCCGCCGAGCTCCTGTCCAGGGACCCTGGGAAGGAGTCAGGGCGGAGCGGGCACCCCGCCACGCTGCCTGCACATCCGGTTTGTCCACTCTGTGACAGTCTTGCTCTCTTTAGGTCCCTGCCATCCAGCCAGACCCCCTCTGACTCACCTCACCTCTATCACATTCTCATGAGTCCCTGACTTGGGCACAGTGGAGGGCTGGTGTCCCCATCGTCTTCTCTTCCCCACCTCTGGCCATTGCCCTGGATAATTTCAGTGTGTGCGTTGACAGTCCACCCAGCAGCCCCCTGAGGCCAGTAGTAGTGACCTTGAACGTTGCCGGGTCACATCCCACATGATCATGGCTGCCTTCTGGCAGGCCGTCAGTAGCGATGGTGCCGGGAAGGGGCCGCAGAGTGTAAGGCCCACCGGGGAAGGCTGCTCTGACACTTGCCTGCGGCAGGGAAGAGGCTGCAGCCTGTGGGAGCAGCCAGGGCAGGGGCACTGCGGGGAGCTGCTCGTGTGGCAGGACCCGTCCCGCAGAGGAAACCCCGCTCACACACCGACCTAACGAGACAGCAGTTGTGGGTTAAAAAGCCTCTTGTAGGGGCCCTTGGGTGGCTCAGTCGGTTGAGTGTCTGACTCTTGATTTCAGCTCAGGTCATGATCTCATGGTTCGTGGGATTGAGCCCTGAGTCGGGCTCTGTGCTGACAGTGCGGAGCCTGCTTGGGACTTTTTCTCCCTCTCTCTTTGCCCCTCCCCTGCTCATGCTCTCTCTCTTTAAAAATAAGTAAACTTTAGAAAGAAAAAAGCTTCTCTTGTAAAACTCAGGGTCGTTTGAGGAGATGCTGTCACCCGGCCACAGGCCGCCTTAATCTCACAGGACCCCAAAAACACTGGCAAGAAGGTGAGTGGGAAGGAAAGTTAGCCTGAAGCACACTCCCCGCATTTCACGTGGAGGGCGGGTCCCAAGGTCATGGGAGGGGAGTGGAAGGTAAGCCAGCAGGTGTAGACCCCTGTGCAGAGAAGAGGGATTTGGTGGTTTTTGTTTTAAGGATGGCCAGGGCTCCATAACTCCCTCTGCTCTTTATCCAGGTAATCTTTGTGTGCTCCTGGTTTTCTCTCTTTCCACACGGTCCCTTTTCCATCCCTGCTGGCTTAGCCCAGCCCTTGCCTCCCGCCTGGCCTGCTGTCCCCTCCTAACTAGTGGTACTTCCTGTGTCCTCTGTGACCCTCAATCTCCTCTTCATGATGCAGGTCACTTCCCAGGCGAATGTTCCTCTCGGCTGCACCTCAAATTCCCCAAACCTTTTCCTTATACATGAGGGTCGCTGTCACATACCTCCTGTGCTTGTCGTCTTGCCTTTTGAGCCTTGGACCTCACCCTGTAGAGTTCTCAGTGACCCATTGCTCCATGCGCCGAGGGTTGGATTACAAAAAACCTCCTTCATGAGCCCCCTTATCCTGCCCAACTGGGAGAGCTGAACTCGGCTCATCCCATCACTGACCCTCACTGCGCCTGGTTAGCTGCTCCCGTCTACACCGTGCTCAGCAGGCTTGCCTGTTGATGGTGTGTCCCTCCCCTGAAGCGGCGGGCTCCTGGGGAGTGCGGGCCGAGTGAAGTCCTTGTACCCCCCAGAGCCTGACGCGGTGCCTGCTGACTGACGGGAGGGTGTAAAGGGCACACTTATTAAACTTTACTTCACTCCGCTCTTGCTCGAGTTGGCTTTGGTAAAGCTGTCATGTGCTTTATTCGCAGGACAGAAGATCTCCATCTTTAATGAACATAAAAGTTATGTCCAAGGAGTAACCTGGGACCCCTTGGGTCAGTATGTTGCCACCCTGAGCTGTGACAGGTACGTCAGGATTTGGCCAGTTGTCTTCTCGGCTGGCTTGAAATTTCCTGCAGGGGGGTTTTCGGCACCACGTAACCAGGCATGAGTGTGGGCTCGCTTTGCTTCTCTTGCTCTTGGTCTCATATCAAGCATTCGGTTTTACTCTTTCTCTCCCACCATAACGTGACAGTGGAAACTAATTAGGGCAAGTGCCTACATGTAGTACTTAGTAAATTTTCATTGAATGGGTTAATGAATGTAGAGGGAGCTTTGAATTACATTTGGATTTCAGGGGCAACATTTGTTTATTCTTTTTCTTTTTTTTGAGAGAGAGAGAGAGAGGGCACAAGTGAGCGAGAGGCAGAGAAGGAGAGAGAAGCGAGGTCACCTGAAACAGGGCTCGTTCACGGGCAACATTAAAAAAAGGTCTTTTATAAATACGACTTCTGCAAGAAGGAGTTCCTAGTGGCTGGGTTCGAATTTCCCCTTCCCTTCCTTCTCTCTTTAAAAAGAAATTTTTTTTAACATTTATTTTTGAGGGAGAGCATGAACAGGGGAGGGGCAGAGAGAGAGGGAGGCACAGAATCCGAAGCAGGCTCCAGGCTCTGAGCTGTTGGCACAAAGCCTGATGCAGGGCTGGAACTCACGAACTGCGACATCATGACCTGAGTCGAAGTTGGATGCTTAACTGACTGAGCCACCCAGGTGCCCTTCTTTTTTTTTTTTTTTTAAGTTTATTTGTTTTGAGAGAGAGAAAGGCAGATAAAGAGGGAGAGAGAGAATCTCAAGCAGGTTCTGCTCTAATGTGAGGCTCAAACTCACAACCGTGAGATCACAACCTGAGCCAAAATCAAGAGTTAAGACGCTTAACTGACTGAGCTGCCCAGGCGTCCCTGGGTATTTCATTCTTTTTTTAAGATTTTATTTATATGTAGTCTCTATACCCACTGCAGGGCTTACACTCACAACCCTGAGATCAAGAGTTTCCTCCACCAACTGAGCCACCCAGGCACCCTTATTTCATTTTTTGATTGTAGTTTACTACTGCAGTCATTTTATTTATTTATTTATTTATTTATTTTTATTTCTAGGAGAGAGAGAGACAGACAGCATGAGCAGGGGAGGGTCAGAGAGAGAGGGAGACACAGACTCTGAAATAGGCTCCAGGCTCTGAGCTGGCAGTCAGCATAGAGCCTGACGCGGGGCTCGAGCCCACGAACCGGGAGATCATGACCTAAGCGAAAGTCGGACGCTTAACCAACTAAGCCACCCAGGCACCCTTACTGCAGTCATTTTAATGACTCCATTTAAATTGATGTATAAATAGAATATCTTTTCTAAAGGGGGTTGTCACTGTGTCTCTTAGTGTCATGCATTTAATTGTGTTCTTGGAACAAAAAACCAAAAATCAGAGGTGGTAGGTATATTAGTCCTCAGTCAAGATCATCCTTTTGAGTATTTCTCTAACTTCTTTTAATCATAACATGTTTGATTTCAGACGGCCCAGCAGTGTGGAAGAATTAGTGTTTATGAATCGAAGCATCTCCTCTTATATTCCATGTGCATTTATTTTCTGAGCTGTATGTTTTATTTGGGCCGTTGGGAGTGAGATGATCTGATCGGCTAGTGGGAATAACATGAATTAGCAACACGTAAATCTATCTGCTGGTGTTTTCCTGACTCTTGCCGTCGGGAGTGAGATGATCTGATCAGCTAGTGGGAATAATATGAATTAGCAACACGTAAATTTATCTGCTGGTGTTTTCCTGACTCTTGAAATCCCTGAGGGTGAGCCCATTCAACACAAGAAGAATGTCACTGGCAGTCATGCAAACTGCCACTGGGCAAAGTGTCAAGGCCTGAAAAGGCCAGGCCTGCCAAACATCTTAGTTGACAAGTTGAAGCGTTCAGTAAAAAATGAAGTTCTGACCCGTTTCCTCACTTTATTAGTGACCTCCTTTGAGAGGTTTGCTTCTGTCATAACGAGTTAAGTGACAGTCATTATAAATGGTCTTGGAGGCTGACATGGTTTAATCAGCCTGCAGTTTCGATGCCGGGTTGTTTCTGTGTGGAACACTTCGTTCACTGGGAGAGATCGGTCAGACTGTTCTTTCTCTAGGACCCTCAGGGTATACAGCACCCAGAAGAAACGCGTGGCTTTTAACGTCTCAAAGATGCTGTCTGGAATCGGGGCCGAAGGAGAGGTAGGAAATGCCTGCCCGGTGTGTTGGCAGTGCTGTGGGAAGTCCTGAGCCTCTCCGGGGCGTACGGCTCAACCCCTGGTCTCAGGCACCTGACACTTGAACTGCCGTGCGCTTCCTTGGCTCCAGCCAAGGCTCCCTTAGTGTATTGGGCTGGTCGGCATGGAAATGGGGACATCTGTGGGCTGGGGACAGCTGCCAATGGTGGGCAGAGGGGTCCCGAACCCCAGCCCCCTGTGGAGTCGCCTGGAAACATTAAAAGATGTGTGTGCCTGCCCCCTAGTCCTCAGCTGTGGTTCCCTTGGCTTGAGGTAGGCAGGGCCTCTGGGATTCTGAGGTGTAGGGAGGGCCGAGAGCTTCTGACCAGGGCGGGGGCGGGGGGGGGGACGCTCTGCCGCAGGAAGGCGGTGGCGGGCAGAGTACGCCCTCCTGGCAGGTGTAGAGGGAATGGGAGAATGGTGCCGGCAGATGGTGGGGACCCAGCCAACGGTCCTAGAGGAATCAAGACCATGGAGGCAGGCAGTTAGACACAAGGGAGCAGGTTGGTCACTGGAACCAAAAAGGGATGTGGCGCAAACCCAGGCCTTGAGCAGCTGGCCGGGGCCGAGCAGGCCATGAACCGGCAACGTGGGGAGCTCACGGAACAGTGAGGAGGGTAGTGCCGGCTCTTTGGGACCTTGAGACTTAAATGCTTAATGTTGATCCAGTGGCAGTTGAGTGGGAGCAAAAACCGTTCCGCTCAGGTGTTCAAGAAAGGTTTGAAAAGATGGGATTAGCAGTTTAAGAGTGGACTAGTTTCTCCCTAAGAGGTGTTCGTTAAGTTGGAAGTTCTAAGTGGACACGCGCAGGTGACGAAGGGCCCCCACGCATTGTCCTGCTTCTCTCCCCTGGTCTCATTCTCCAGACACGTCGCTGTTGACAGTGCGTGGTGCTCTCACAGGCTTTTCAAAGATGACTGTGGCACCCCAAACATATACGCATAGACCCATACGCACATATGGCTTTCCGTAACGCAGAGGGGCGGTTAGTGTTGGTGAGAGAGCACTCTTGCGGTCTTGAGTGGCTGTTTGACTTGTAATAGATTTCCCCTGTTATGTGAGAGAGAAATGACACTATGTATAGAGAAAAAAAAAAGGAACTGGTAGGCCTTTATCGTGAATGTAAAGATTTGGATTTAAAAAAAAAAAAAAGATGTGGATTAATGTTTAAACTTGTGTGCCCCAGGCCAGAAGTTACCGGATGTTTCACGACGACAGCATGAAGTCATTCTTCCGTAGACTTAGTTTTACCCCTGATGGATCTTTGCTCCTCACACCAGGTGGGTTTGACAAGCTTTTGATTTGAAGGCGTGACGGCAGCGGTGCTGGAGTCTCTGCCCCGGATTCTGCGATGCCGCTTTTCAGCTCAGTGAATCCTGATTAAAATAGCACGCCCCTGCCACCCAGCTTGTTGAGACCTTGAAACCTCCAGGGCGAGCTTCAAAAAGCGTGGTCCCTGGGTTCCACTCGCAGAGATTGTGGTTTGATTGGTCCGGGTGGGGGGTGGGGGGGGTGGGGTGTAGGTTTTGGAATTGAAACAATTTCCAGGTGTTTCTGGTGTGCAGAGAGGTTGGGGGTCCACTAGACTAGCGTGACGGATACATTTTTCTTAAATTTAACTTAAAATTTGAATGTCTTTTCACTAGGCGTGTATATAGAGATTGTAGTGCTAAAGCTAACATAGGTTTATTTTTATTCTCAGTGAAACAGTCTCTGGTGACAGGGACAAGTTTGGTTGGAATAACTCGTGAGTAGGACCAATCAGCAGGGACGAGACAGGTTCATGGTCTACAGGAAGGCAGGAGGTTAAGCCCAGCAGCATCAGCTGCGGCACTCATTGCCGGGGTGATCTCAGAAGAATGTCTCCTGCCCTCCATGGCTTGGGTTCCATCTTTGGTATGAAGGTGATGACCTAACCCAAGGCTGGGCCAAACAGGAGGGCAAAGGTCAGGTTGGCCACGAAGTATTCCGGCCAGGCTAGGCAGAGGAGGCCCGAGAGGGTGTGAATAGTACAGGCATACGTGTTGATGCAGTGGGCTTGCTTCAAAGCATCATGGGCTGTGCGTTAGGATGTTGGAGTTCATGTGGGAGTGACATTGACCTGGGGAGGGGGTATCTCAGGATCAAGAACAGGTAGTTGCTACATATATTAAAGGCTGCTGACTAAACTCCGTGACAAATCTTTGCCAAATGGCTGCTCTAAAAATACTGTGTTAAATTCAGGTGTCAGGGGGGTGTCTGCTATCACCATTTTTATTCTTTGTGGTGTTAATAGATGCAGGAAGAGGAGAAGGTGAAATTATAAAGATTGGTAAAGAAGGAAACTTTGTGATAAGATTATGTTTCTAGAAAACCCAACAGAGTTTAACATATTAGAATAAATTAATAAGGTGGCTGGGTACTGTGAAATTCATAAAAATCTTCTATATTGGGGGCACCTGGGTGGCTCAGTCGGTTAAGCATCCAACTTCGGCTCAAGTCATGATCTCACGGTTCATGGGTTCGAGCCCTGCATCAGGCTCTATGCTGACAGCTGTGTCTCCCTCTCTCTCTGACCCTCCCCTGCTTGCACTGTCTCTCTCTCTCTCAAAAATAAAAAAAATAAAAAAAACATAAAAAAAAATCTTCTATATTGGGACATGTACTTAGAAATATAAAAAGGAAAATCATCCCATTCATAATAATGCAAAGCCCTCAAAACATGGGGGAGAAAAGTTAATAAAGGCCGGAAGCTTTTATGAAGGCTAGAAGGTCTTACTGAAGATTGTAAGACAGGTTCTGAACAAATAGAGATCTCAACTTCTAAAAATTGACATATGAATTGATTTGCTATTAGAGGCTTTTTTAAAATTTTAATTTAATTTTTTTTAATTGACAGCATCTCAGCTTTGTTAGGAGAATAAATGCTGAGGAATACTTACAATTTAAGTATATTTTTGAGAATGGGAGTGGAAGAGGGGCAGAGAGAGAGGGAGAGAGAGAATCCCAAGCGGACTCCACCATGTCAGCATGGAGCCTGATGTGGGGCTGGAACTCATGAGCTGTGAGATCATGACCTGAGACAAAATCAAGAGTTGGATGCTTAACTGACTGAACCGCCCAGTTCAGATTTAAAAGTGTGAAATAATAGGAATAATACCTGAGGAGGCGCTTGCCTAAACATCAGCAGATACTATGGTGCTACTATTCTTGAATCAATATAGTTGATGGTACAGGAATAAACAGATTAGTGAATCAGAACAGAAAATCCAGAAATATGTGACCTGGGTGATATTTCAGTGGGAAGAATTACTGAGTGAATGGTGCTAGCATGTCCAGCAGTCTGGAAGAAAATTGTTGGACTCTTGACTTACATATGGAAATAAATTCCAGGTGAAGTCAGTACTTAAATCTAAAAGGCGAAAATGTAGGGGGACATCCTAGGAACAGGGCAGACAGACAGGAAACCCGGACGCTCTAGAATGATGGGCCTGTTTGACTGTGTTTGATGGGGAACTTTTGTACAGTGGAGACCCAGTAAGCGAAGTTAGTCGACAAGTAACAGAACTAGAAAACACCATTTACAGTACAGGAAAGAGAGAGCTCACATAGGTCATGTTCAGTAGCTCTTCCAAATTGATGAGAAAAAAGAAAAACCCGGAAGAAAAAAGATAAGTGAAAGAAACAAGGCAGTTTGTAGAGGAGCAGATTGAGGTGTTCAGCACCCACAGGAAAAGGTTTGGACTCTCAGTGATAGAGAAATACTAAGTAAAGTGACGTACGATTGGGGGTCTCTTTATTCTCTTCAATCTGGAAAAAAGTGAAAATACGCCTTGCTCGTGGGCATGCAGAATGTGGGTATTGCTGCAGGAATGTGAATTGTTACACCCGGTTTAAAAAACGGTCTGGAGACCGTTAAATGCGTGTACCGTTCAGCCCATCTCCCCTCCTTCCCCCATCTTAGACTCACTCTTTAAGAAATGAAAACCTAATACATAAAAGTACATAAAAGTATATCTTCAACAATGTTTATAGCAAGTATGGTTTCTAGTTGTGAAAAAACAAGACCGATGAACAAGACGGGTAGACGACTTACAGTGTTTCTGTACCAGTGAACATTGGGCAGCTAGTGAAGATGTATTATCCAAGTTAGCTTTCATGGGTGGTTGACTGAGCAGAGCACCATAAGCAAAGGTATAAACAAGAGCCTGTTTTTGTGAAATAGACAAAAACCCCACCCTGTGAATATATACGTGGTTGAGTAGGAACTGGTTGGGTTGGTTGTGTGAACATGGAGGAAAGACAGATGCCACACTGGTTTGTTCAGATGGGTTATGTGGGGATGGAAGGGTGGGCTGGGTGGAGAGGGGAGAAAGACTACTTGCCCACCTCTCCCACCCCCAGTGGAGATGAAACGGTCACATGTGAGATGACACACGTGTGTGTATCAAAGCAAGAGGTTGCCATAGGGTTGACAGTCATTCTGTGGCCAGGTCCGGCCTGGTTGTAAGGTCATCTGGGGTGAGTGTGGAAGAGCTCAAACGTGGGCTCTCCCCAGAGCAAGGTCAGCTGTTGCAGGGCTGGGGGTGTAGCAGAGGCCTGGGTCTCCTCGCAGCCTCCTGGCCGCACCAGGCGGGTGGGAAAGGCTGGTCGTGGGCCCTGGCTGGCAGCCAAGCTCAAATCCAGGGGACAGAGTGGGGTGACCTAGTGAGAGTGCTTCTCCAGCAGGAAGTGGCTGGCCTCCCGGATGGAGGTGTGCTCGGTTCTTCCTGCCCAGGCCTGAAGCCACCTCGGGCAGGTGAGCCGCTCAGGGGAGGTGACAGGTGGCTAGTAGCGCTGGAGGAAGAGCCGCGCCCAGCCTGGGACTGTGTGTATTTGTCCTCAGTCACAAAAACACGGTCCAGGACACCCGGCTCTGGGGAGAAATGTGTTACAAGCAAGGGTTGGATGCCCCTGAGTGTATCTTTTTCCAACTAATAAAACCTCATCTCTCTCTCTCTCCCTCTCCCCCTACTTCCCCAGCTGGATGTGTGGAGTCTGGCGAAAATGTAACAAATACTACTTATGTTTTCTCCAGGAAGAATCTTAAAAGGTATGCATTTGAAGAAACAGTTGAAATATTTACTCTTTTTGTTTTTGGGGAGTAACAGTGCCCTTTTCTAAAAACGTCATGACCCATCTTTCAGGCCTGTTGCTCACCTTCCCTGTCCTGGCAAAGCGACGCTCGCGGTTCGCTGCTGTCCTGTCTACTTTGAGTTGAGGCCGGTGGTGGAAACAGGTACGTTGGAGCCACAGTGGTTGTGTTGGGTCTTCTCTGAGGCAGGCCGCCAGGCCGCGGGGGTCGGGATGTGGGGGTTCTCTCCCGCGGGGAACGGCCGTGTGGGGTTGGTGCGGATGAGTTACCGTGAAGAGCGGAAGCAAAGCCCGAGATTATCAAAATGTCCGTCGTTTGTCTCGTCTAGAATACGCTTTCTTCGCTTAACCTTCAAAGGAATGAAAGTAATTTTTTTTTATCTGAAGCAGATTAAATGTCATTCAGTATCCCATTTCCTATGCAGTAAAATTAGTTTTTTTAGTTTTTTTTTTTTCCTCAAGGTTTTTCTCTTTATCAGGGGTTTTAAGTAGTCGGATTCTGATGGGCCTTGGTATAGTTTTCTCAGGTTTCTTGTGCTTGGGGTTTGTTGAGCTCTTAGATTTATGGGTTTCTAGTTTTCATCAACTTTGGGGAATTTTAGCCATTATAGCTTCAAATATTTCCTCTGTTATACCCCTTCCTCCCCACAAGGGCCTCCACCTACATGCACGTTAGGCCATTTGAGGTTCGCCCTGGGCTTCCTGATGATCTGTCTGCTTGCTTTTTCCCTCTCAGTACTTCCGTGTTCTGTATCCCACATCTCTACTTAACATACTCCATCCTTCCTCTTCTTCAACATGTAGGATAGTTTTTGTCATAACCTTTAATGTCTTTGTGTACAAAGGATTTGTTTTGATGTTTTTCCCCTTCATTGTGGGTCCTGTGTTCTTTGCATGCCTAGTGATTTTTCATTAGATGCCAGACATTGTGAATTTTACCTCTTTGGATGCTGGATATACTTTTATAAATATTCTTGAGTTTTGTCCTGGGAGGCAGTGAAGTTCCCCGGAAACACTGTGCTGCTTATTGTCGCTAGGCGGGACCATGGCCGCATGTGGTCCAGGGCTAGTTTCCCCACCGCCGACGCAGAGCCATCTGAGTCCTTGGTGCCCCGGAACTAGGCTTCCCGCTGTGGCTGGCGGAACACGCCCTTCTGGCCTTGCGCGAGCTTTGGGAATGACTCTTTCCTGTAGTTCTTGCTCTGGCCTCGGGTGGTTTCCTCACTTGCACGTGCTGATCAGGGCTCAGCTGGAGACCCGAGAGGGCCTGTGCATCTGTGCCTGTGAACCTGGCTGCCTGGGCCTTCCTGCCCCATCCTCTCCCTCTCCCGGGCCTGGCAGCTCCAGGCAGGAAGCTGGGGGTAGGATTTCCTCATTCACTTCCCATCCCTCAGGGGTCACTGTCCTTCACTGCCTGATGGTCGAAAGTCTCAGAAAACAGTATTTTGTATGTTTTGCCTGATACTTCAATTGCTTCCATGGGGGGGGGGGAGTACATCAGGCCCCTTATCCCCCAAGGCTGGAGGCAGCTGTTCTAAGCTTCTTAGTCCTTTTATGTGAATGAATATAATTAACCGAGAGCTTCAAAACATCACCTTAATAAAATGTTTCTAGGTTACCCTTATTTTTCATATCAGAAAGGACTTGTTTTATTCACAGGTTTTTGTTTGTTTCTTGGGTTTTTTCCTACTTCTTGGACCTCGGGTGCCCCCAATTTTTGGATCAGGACACAGTATCCTCATCAGGTCATGTGTGGCTGTCCTTTACTCACATATAAACTAAAGGACTGATTTTTTTTTTGTAAAGCACATAACAAACTAGCCTTCAGTAAAATGACGTCATTTGTGTCCCCTGAGAGAGGGCTTCTGGGAATGTTTCCTATGGCTTCTGCTTTCTGCCATGCATCCCGCTTTCACCTGAGCAGACAGAGCATCACAGGAGCTGGGCACGGAGCTGGTGCAGCTGCCCTACCGCCTGGTGTTCGCCGTGGCTTCTGAAGACTCGGTGCTTTTGTACGACACTCAGCAGCCATTCCCTTTCGGTTATGTATCTAACATACACTACCACACCCTGAGTGACGTCTCCTGGTGAGTGGCCGGCAGTGAGGGAGGATGGGCGGGGACTACAGTGAGCGGCAGCCCTGGAGTAGACCCTGGGGACAGGGAGCATTGCACCACTACAGGTGGCTTTATTTTGGCCAGTGTTTACCAATTATTTAAAAAAAATAGTTAAAATAAAGTTTATTTAAAATCATTTTTGTCTGGGGCGCCTGGGTGGCTCAGTTAGTTAAGCATCTAACTTTGGTTCAGGTCATAATCTCACAGTCCATGAGCTTGAACCCCACATTGGGTTCTGTGCTGATGGTTCGGAGCCTGGAGCCTGCTTCAGATTCTGTGTCTCCCTCTCTCTCTGCCCCTCCCCCGTTCACGCTGTTTCTCCTTCCCTCAAAAATAAATATAAAAGAAGCTTTTTTTAGCTACTTTTTTCTAAGTTTATTTTGAGAGAGGCAGAGCGAGCACGTGTGCATACCTGTGCAAATCTAGGGAGAGAATCCCAAGCAGGCTCCAGCAGAGCCCTGATGCAGGCGGGGCTCGAACTCATGAACCTCGAGATCATGACCTGAGCTGAAGTCAGTCAGATGCTTAACCAACTGAGCCATCCTGGTGCCTCTTTCCAGTTCTTTTTAAAGGAAAGGCTTTCTAATTTGCTGTAATACTGCTTCCTGTTGTAATAGAAACACCTGAATGTTGCCATTCAGTTGCCCCAGGGGTTCCTCTAATTCTCAAACTGAGGGGGGGACCCTTTGGGCTCCCTGCTTGTTGGGACTTGCAGGAGGCCCGCACCCACGAGCTCCTGCCGCCCAGAGCTGCACCTGGGAGTCACTTTGTGCTCCTCCTCCTGCTGGTGGCCCTTAGCGCCCCTGGGTCCCTGATTCACGCCCGGCTCCGCCTGCTCCCCCGACCGTCTCTTTCTTGCTCTTTATAGCCTTTTTTCTCCTTATCTTGGGGCGAATGTGAGGACAGTCCCGAACTACTGCGGGGCCTGCGGAATGCGATGGGGCTGGGAAGCAAAGGGCGGGAGTGAGGAGCCCACACAGAGCCTGTGGTTTTGCTCGAACTGCCATTTTGTCACCAGTGACGAGAGCCTGAAGAGGGGCCTGTAGACTTCGGTTCTGTTTCTAACCTTTCCTCCTGTTTGGGGAACGAAGGTCCAGCGACGGGGCCTTCCTGGCCATTTCCTCCACGGATGGCTACTGTTCGTTTGTGACGTTTGAGAAGGATGAACTTGGAATACCTTTGAAAGAGAAGCCCGTCTTAAGCATGAGAACTCCTGATACAGCAAAGAAGACGAAGAGTCAGTCATACCAGGGGTCTTCGCCAGGCCCCCGGCTGGTGGAGGGGACCCCCAGCAGCCCCTGCACACCCCCGCCTCAGGCCAGACCGCCTCCAGCCCCGACGGCGCCTGCGGAGGAGAAGGCGGCCCTGCAGCCCAGCATGCAGAATCCCAAAGCGCCCCCGTCCCGGAGGGTCACTCTGAACACACTGCAGGCCTGGAGCAAGACGACGCCCCGGTAAGAAGCCTCCCCGGAAGAGGAAGTCGTCGCTGCGGGTTACAGACGGGGAGCCGCCAGCCTTTAGTGGGGGAAGTGCCAGGAGCACTTCACGCTGCTGCCCGAGACCTTTTCAACCGTGACCTCTGCTGGGTCCCCACCTCCGCCTCCCAGGCAGGCCCCAGCCCCCGGTGCACGGCCCATAGACACTCGGCTACAGGCTGCCCTATGGGGCCGTCCCACCAGCCCCGCCTCGCCTTGCGTCCCCTAATCTCTAGCCCACCCCTGGAGGTCAGGGTCCCCAGCCATTCTGCCCTAGGAGGCCTCTGTGCCCTTACCTTCCTCCAGGAGCCCCAGCCACCTGTGTTCCTGGTGACACTGGAGTCCCCCCCCGGTTGTCCCTCAGCCCTTCCTCACATTCAGCTACACATCACATTCAGCTACAGGGGTTTGGTTAGGCTTCTGTTTTCCTGTTCGGTTATCAGCCCCTTAAGGCAGGAAGCGTGTTCTCCTGCCCAGAGCGGTCACGGGCACTGGGCAGCAGGCAGGAAAACCAGAGGAACGTCTTGAGGTGGTTTTTACTGCTCCCGTGGACTGGCTCATGGCAAGCAGCGTCTGGTCTGATAGTGTCTCCGTCCCTGCTCACGTCACTCTGGCTGGCGAGCCTGCCTCAGTTTCCTGCCGCTGCTGCAGACAGAGCCCTGTGCTGTGCACGGCAGCGGGTGTCCAGGGTCTTCCCTCGCCTTGACCCTGTAGGAGTCCTGGGGAGGGAGCGGAGGACAAGCACCATGTGTCTCTGGCTTTCTGGGCCCTGCCCAGGACTTCAGTGGCCTGGCTGTAACCTGGATTGCACGTACCGTTTGGCTCTTCTCCAGTCTCTGAGTTCTGCACATGAGTGGCCTTTTTCTATTTGTTGGTGGGGGAAGGGTGTGGGAAGGTGTTCTTTCAAATACTTTTGGCATGAAAGTTTTTCCCCCTCTTCATTTCTTGGAATCTTGTGCTGGTATAACTTAAAAAAGAAAAAATAGTTGTCAAAAATTAAGTTTGGATTTTAAACAGGAACTATGTTTTGGAGCTTTCTGTAGTAGAAACCATGTCTGATAGCCTTGTGTGTGCAGGGAGATGTGCAGCATCCCATTGGAGGTAAACAAAACACAGGTTTTGAAACTTTTAGGTGGTTAGTTAAGGTTTGACTATTTTAAACTTGATGACTGAACTTACTCACGAACATAGTCCCTAAGTAGCCACCTCGGCATTTAATGTCTACGTGGTATGATTAGTTGAAAAATTTTAATGTTTCCTTTGGGTAGTTTTGTAATTTGGCATCATCACAAATGATTTTTAGGACACTAATGAGCCACGTACCCCTTTCCTACTTTTTTTTTTTGACTAAGGAGGATAAACTTAATGCCTTTAAAGACAGAGACTCCACCGAATTCTGTACCAACCAGTATAATCTCCACCCCTTCTGCAGAAGAAATTCAATCAGGTGAGTGATACTGTTGCTGGGTTAATAGAATTAAAGATACTCTGTCTTTCTCTTTTGTTCTTTTGGAAACTGACCACTAATTTTAAGTCCGTTCTGCGAAAGCAGGGATGCCTCTTACCAGAGCCATCTTTCAGACTCACCGGCTGCCTGTTCATTGTCAGCAGGGAGAGCACCTTTCTGTGCAGGTGCTCATGGTAGCTGAGTAGGTGACGGGTTCAGGAGGTGCTGGGTAGGGTCAGGGTTCTCCACCTGGGCACTGGTGACAGTCTGGGCCAGATAATTTTTTTTTGTGGGGGCTGTCCTGCAATTGTGGGGTGTTTAGTAGTACCTCTGGATGCTGGTACCCATTCCCTATCACCCCCCCAACTTGTGCCCATCCTCCAGCGTCCCCAGCCATTGCCCAGGTGAAATCGCCCCCAGTTGAAAACCACTGGGTCCTTTCCCATATGTTCAGATAGGACCTTGGGCGGCAGCTCAGTATCCTGTCTGGGCACAACACTTATTTTGTGAATCATCAGCTCTTCGTTTTAAAGAAATGTTTACTTACTTGCCAACCTGTGCCTGTTTGTGTTCTAGGGATGCCCGGGGACCCTCAGGACAGTCCTCCGGAGCCCAAGCGGCCTCGGCTTGGTGAACACAAAGGAAGTTCCCAAGGTCTGGACCCTTGAGGAGACCGGTCTGCTGCTCGAAGGCTGCCAGGTCCGGGGGTCCCGTGCGCAGAGAGGGCGGCTAGGCCGGGGACGCTGGACACCAATGGCCTTAGGCGGAGCCTGACGGACACTCGTGAATTGTTTACTGTAACAGAAGATACTCACGCACAGTCTTTCTCCAGCACTGTGTTTGCACTTGTAGTCAAGGTCCATGCTTACCGCAGAGCGGTGAACATGGTCATAGACCGGATCGTCCTTTTGAGGAGTTTCTGAAGCTGGGGCAGTTTGGCATCGTCTCGTGTGGAGCGGGGGATTTCCGCCTACGGGGAAAGTGCAGACACTTTGCGAGTAGACCCCTTCCCAGAGCTGCAGTGAGAGAGGAGAAAGTTATTTGAGAAGGTTTATTCGTTGATGTTACCTTCCGAATAGTTGATTTTTAGGAGTTAGTTTCCTTTCTGATTTTAAAGGTAATAAAAATGCTCCTGCTGGAAAGTTAGCGAGAATAAAGTAGGAAAAACGGCCCGAGATGGGGCTCAGCTACCCTCTTCCTGCTGGAAAGAACCGTGTTACTGTGGGCATATTTATTTCCTTTTTGGGTTTTTTGTTGTTTTTTTAAGGGAGAGAGTGGAGATTTCACTTTAGATAGAGTTTGGTCTCCAACAGGTTAACTTCTTAGATCGATGTTTGAGAGTAAAAGAGCTTTTCCTGAGCACTTTCTGCCTCTGCCTTTGCTCTCCCCATCCCTGAGGTGAGGGTGTGTTCTCTCCTGCCGGGAGGGAACCGGGAGCGTGGGTGGCCCGCGCACAGGGCTGCTGGCCGTTCAAGGCACTGTCCCCTTGGCTCGGTGGACACCGTGAGTTGCCCGAGTGAGGCCTCCCCACCCCTGCAGGGGATGGAGCCCCAGTCTGGTCTGACGAAAGGGCAGAGGATTGGATGGATGTGCCCTTTTGAACTCAGGTCAGCAGCAACCAAGGGAAGAGTTGCAAAGAGGATCAATTTGTTGCTTAGTCCATAACCTAGTGACCCAGAAAAAGAGTCGGCCACCCTTCTACACAGGAAGCCGGCACAGAGGGAGGAGTCACAGTGGGTTGAACCGGAAGGCGAATGTGTGCACAGCGATGATGACACAGGTGCGGGTCACGTTCAGTATGAAGATATGTTAAGGTGTCAGATGGTATCTGTTTTGACCAGGAACTCTCAACTTTCACTGCACACTGAGATCACCCAAAGAGGTGACAAGAATACTGTCCCCTAGGTGCCTGCTCCAGGGGGAGTGGCCTAATGGGGCTGGGGGCGTGGTCAGGGTTCTTTAAAAGCTCGGAGCAACTTTTTTTAACGTTTATTTTTGAGAGAGACAGCGGGGGAGGGGAAGAGAGATAAGGAGACAGAATCCGAAGCAGGCTGCAGGCTCCAGGCTGTCAGCACAGAGCCAGACACGGGTACCTGAACTCACAAACCATTAGATCACGACCTGAGCCAGAGTTGGACGCTTAGCCCACTGAGCCACCCAGACGCCCCAGAATTCCAGGTAATTCTGCTGCCCAGCCGTGGTTGGGAAATCCTAATAAGAGGAGAGCTTTCCCTGAATATGATCTCTCCTGGTTATTTAAGTACATTTCCCCTGAAAGCTTTTCCTGGCTTACTCTGTCCTCGCTGAGGGCAGCCCTAGTACGGAAGCTCTGCTCTCAGTTTGAAAAGGTAACGTGTGTGAAGTGCCATCGGGTCTTCACAGAAAAAAGAGGATTTTAAATTTTCTGAGGCTGGGCGGGCGGGTGGCCTCAGTCCGTTAGGGGTCCGCCTCGCTGTCGGCTCGAGTCATGATCTCACGGTTGTGAGATGGATGTGTCCAGCTCTGCACTGATGGCGTGGAGCCTGCTTGGGATTCTCTCTCCCTGCCACCCTTGCTCTCCCAAACTTAAGGTTTTTTTCCCCCCTGAGGCTGGAGTGAGGGATATTTCGTCGTCATCGATCCCCGTGCAAAGAGGTGTGATGATGGGCCCTGGGTTCTCCGCCTGCTTTCCTGGCCTCACTCCGTATTTGTCTACACGTCTGTGTCTTGTACAGCGACAAGGGGCGGGGGGGAGGGAGGGCAGGCTCACCTTTAGCCGGAGGATGTGTTTAGAGGCAGGACTAGTCTGTCAGCTGTCACCGAATAGGAGGTACAGAAGCATCAGCCAAAGCCCAAGCCATGTTACGGCCTCGTGTCCTGATCTAAACCGCTGCTCCCCCCGGGGAGTTTCCCGGGAAGCCTTCCGCTGACGGAGCCCGGCCTGAGGGTGGGCGGTAAGGACTGACTCCCCACCGGGACCTGCTGTGTGCGCCCCAGCGCTGCCGGCCCTCTCTCTGGTGCCTCCTCGTCTCCCACCACGGTGGGTGACCAGGCCTGAGCCCTGGTGCCGGCGCCGCGTCAAGCAGGGAGCCCCCCGGGCAAGGGCGCTTCGGCAGCGAGCGTGGGCCGCTTCCGCCCTTTCTCGTTTCTGCCCCTGCGGCCACTTGGGCTGTCCTGGTGGGAGCACTCACACCTGCACGTCAGTGGTGCCGTTGACCCCTGTTAGCAAAACCGTTGTCGGCGTCCATTTCAACAAGTAGCTCCAAGTCCTGGGCTCTGGAAACCAGGTAGGGAGGGATGGAGGCTGGGGGACGAGAGGCCCAGCCCTGCCCACCCGCATGCCCCCTCACACCTGTTGTGCGCAGGTCTCTAAGGGAGGGACGTACCTCGGGCAGATCACTTCGCCAAAAGTTTCGTTATAGCTAGACAGACTTTAGCTCTGCCCGCTTTGGCAGGGCAGGGGGTGAAGAGAAAAGGTGGGACAGAAACGAGAGATCCAACTGAGAGGCTGGAAGGTCATACCTTCCCTCCCATTCCCTCCTACCTGTCGAAGGAACAGGCACCTGTATTCGCACGCGAGCTCTCATGGCCCCTGGAGGTCGCTGTCCCGTCTGCGTCTGGTGACGCAGCAGCCCCGCCGCCTCCTGGTGGGCCACAGCGCTGCCAGGCTCGGAGTCAGCTCGGCCACAGCGGCCCTGGACGCTGGCTTCAGTCCCTGGAGGCTGGTCCTCGAGGAGCAGGGTTAAAATTGGGGTGGGAGAGGGTTAAGAAAGTAACATGTGAGTATCCATCTCTTCCTTCACTCACCCACCCACTCATTCATTCACTCACCCACTCCATTCATTCATTCATTCATGAAATACATACCAGGGCATCTGGGTGGCTCCGACGGTTAAGCATCTGACTCTGGGTTTCGGTTCTGGTCATGATCTCACAGTTCATGAGTTTGAGCCCTACTTTGGGGTCTGCACAGGTAGTCCGGAGTCCGCTTGTGATTCTCTCTCTCTCTCTCTCTAACAATTTATTGTCACGTTGGTTTCCATATAACACCCAGTGCTCATCCCCACAAGTGCCCTCCATGCCCATCACCCCCCTTCCCCTCTCCCCCACCACCATCAGTCCTCAGTGTGTTCTCAGCATTCAAGAGTCTCTTATGCTTTGCCTCCCTCACTCTCCCCCACTATTTTTCCCCTTCTCCACCCCCCCTCCCCATGATCCTCTGTTAAGTTCCTCCTAATCCTCCTATACTTGCAAGCGTATGGCATCTTTCCATCTCTGCCTGACTTATTTCGCTCAGCATAACACCCTCAAGTTCCGTCCATGGTGCTAAAAATGGCCAGATTTCATTCTTTCTCATTGCCATGTAGTTAGTATTCCATTGTATAGATAAACCACATCTTCTTGACCCATTCGTCCGTTGATGGACACTTTGGCTCTTTCCATGTTTTGGCTATTGTGGAGAGTGCTGCTATGAACATTGGGGTCCGTGTGCCCCTATGCATCAGCACTCCTGTGTCCCTTGGGTAAATTCCTAGCAGTGCTATTGCTGGGTCATAGGGGAGATCTAATGTTAATTTTTTGAGGAACCTCCACACTGTTTTCCAGACGGGCTGCACCAGTTTACATTCCCACCAACAGTGTAGGAGGGTGCTCGTTTCTCCACATCCTCGCCAGCATCTAGAGTTCTCTGATTTGCTCATTTTAACCAGTCTGACCAGCGTTATCTCAGTGTGGTTGTGATTTGTATTTCCCTGATGAGGAGGGATGCTGAGCATCCTTTCATGTGTCTGTTGGCCATCTGGATGTCCTCTTTGGAGAAGTGTCTGTTCATGTCTTCTGCCCATTTCTTCACTGAGTTGTTTTTTTGGTGTGGAGTTTGGTGAGTTCCTTATAGATTTTGGATACTAGCCCTTTATCCAATATGTCATTTGCAACTATCTTTTCCCATTCCGTTGGTTGCCTATTAGTTTTATGGATTGTTTCCTTTGCCGTGCAGAAGCTTTTAATCTTGATGAGGTCCCAATAGTTCATTTTTGCTCTTGATTCCCTTGCCTTTGGGGGTGTATCAAGTAAGAAATTGCTGCGGTTGAGGTCAAGAAGGTTTTTCCTGCTTTCTCCTCTAGGGTTTTGATGGTTTCCTGTCTCACATTCAGGTCCTTTATCCATTAAAAAAAATTTTTTTAATGTTTAATATGTTAATATATATATAATATATAATTAATGTATTAATATTAATAATATATTTTAATGTTTTAATAATTATTTCTGAAAGAGCGAAAGAGAGAGAGAGAGACAGACAGCGTGAGCAGGGGAGGGTCAGAGAGAGAGGGAGATACAGAATCCGAAACAGGCTCCAGGCTCTGAGATGGCTGTCAGCACAGAGCCCGATGCGGGGCTTGAACCCACGAACTGCGAAATCACGACCTGAGCCGAAGTCAGATACTTAACCGACTGTGCCACCCAGGTGCCCCCCCTTTATCCATTTTGAGTTTTTTTGTGCGTATGGTGTGAGAAAATGTTCTAGTCTCATTCTTCTGCATGTTGCTGTCCAGTTCTCCCAGCACCGTCTGTTTATGACTGTCTTTTTTTCCATTGGATACTCTTTCCTGCTTTGTCAAAGATTAGTTTGCCATAAGTTTGTGGGTCCCATTATGAGTTCTCTATTCTATTCCATTGGTCTATGTGTCTGTTTTTGTGCCAATACCATACTGTCTTGATGATGACAGCTTTGTAGTAGAGGCTAAAGTCTGGGATGGTGATGCTTCCCATTTGGGTTTTCTTCTTCAATATTACTTTGGCTATGCGGGGTCTTTTGTGGTTCCATACAAATTTGAGGATAGTTCTAGTTTTGAGAAGAATGCTGGTGCAATTTTCACTGGGATTGCATTGAATGTGCAGAATGCTTTGGCTAGTAATGACATTTTAACAATATTTATTCTTCTGATCCATGAGCATGGAATGTTTTTCCATTTCTTTGTGTCTTCTTCAATTTCCTTCATACGTTTTCTATAGTTTTCATCATACAGATCTCTTATATCTTTGGTTAAGTTGATTCCTAGGTATTTTATGGGTTTTTTTTTTTTGTGCAATTGTGAATGGAATCAGTTTCTTGATTTCTCTATTGCTTCATTGTTGGTGTATAAAAATGCAACCGATTTCTGTACATTGATTTTGTACCCTGCAACTTTGCTGAATTTATGGATCAGTTCTAGTAGGCTTCTGGTGGTCTCTCCCTCTCTCTTTGCCCCTCCCCCCCTGCTCGTGCTCTCTCTCTCTCTCTCTGAAATAAACTTCAAAAAAAAAAAAAAAAAACCAGAACTGCATATCAAACACCCAGGTACCACAGGATACATCAGGGAACAAAAGACAAAATCCCTGGAGCT